AGCCTGCTTCGTAATTTGTAACCTCCCATCGTCTCGTAGAACGCGTGGGCAGTCCTTATTTCTGCCATACATCAAAAAAGGAATCAGAGCCTGATTGCTTTGAAAATGCCAAGATTCTAGGGCCAGGCACGGTGGCTCACACCTGTAATCCTAACACTTTGGGAGACTGAGATGAGAGGACTGCTTGAGCCTGGGAGTTTGAGACCAGCCTGTGCATATAGTAAGACCTCGTCTCTACAAAAAAATTCTTAAAAAAATTGCCGAGCATGGTGGCACAAACCTGTAGTCCCAGCTACTCAGGAGGCTTAAGTGGGAGGATCACTTGAACCTGGGCAGCGCATAGGTTGCAGTGAGCCATAATGGTGCCACTGCACTCCAGCATGGGCGACAGAGTGAGACTTTGTCTCAAATTTAAAAAAATAATAATAATAATTCTGGGATTCTGGCTGTGCTCTGGAGCCCAGCCTCTTTCTCCTGCCTTGTGTGCCATTGCCCATCCTATCCCCGGATCAGTTTTAGATTTGTGAGATTCTGTAAGTTTACACATTCTCACATACTCGTTAGTGGTTCCTGAAAAGTGTTACTTTTCTTATTATTTTTAGTACACCTGATGCCATGGTTGTGACTTACTGATTTTAAATAACTGCTATGAGCTTGACTTCACTTGCTCTTTCTCAAAATGATCATAAGAAATGTTAAGCCAAGAAATAAGGCTATGTAAATACTTTTTGGATCTGAATTGAGATGTTACAAAATATTGGCAGTGAAAGCTTCGGGCAAGCCCAGTACTAAGAAATTGAAAAGAAATGGCGACTTTATGTCTTCATACAGTAGCGGTTGGGTTGACTCACTGCAGCATGCCTGCCAGAACCTGTATGTGGCTCTTTAAGCTTTGCTAGAACAGCTGCCTGAAAAATGCATTTGTACAAAGGGTTTTGAGAATTGTTTGTTACCTGTAAGCAAAAAGTTTACCTAACCAAATGTAAAATATGATTAAATCTACATGTAGTTTAAAGAGTTGCTTTACCTGAGCAATTTGGCTTCTTTTGAACACTATCAAAGTAGATAATACGGTTCTGTATGTTTTGAAATAACTGCCTTGACTTTGCGTTTGGAAATGAAATTTGTTATTTGACCAGTTAAAGTATATAAGATTTAAAGTTAATTTATCTTCATAAGGGAAGCATAGCATATTGAGTTCCAATAGGAAAATAGTTTTATTTTAAATCAAAGTCTTCCTCTTGGTGGGTTCTGGAACTTAGATTTAATTACATCAGTTGGGTTTTCTAATCATTGTGTCATCCATTGGCCAGAACAAGGGGATCTTGTATCAGATGGGATAGATTGCATCCCAGCCCCAGCATGTGCCAGCTTCATGATCTTGGGCATGTCAGGTGGCTGTTTCCCTCATCCTTAGAATGTGAAGGGATGGTCAAAAGCCACCACACAGGATCGTAATATAGGCAGTGTCTGTTCTGATCACATAGTGGGCACAGCTACATGATGCTATTACTTATTTAACAAAGGGGTCCTATTCAGCCTGCTTTTTTAGGATACCTACCAGTTTCTAGACAGAATATAAAGGTGAAAATGATTTGATCCTAATTCAAGAAAACTTACAGATGAGAAAGAAAAAGCATATCCATTGAGCTTTCTGTTCTCTTGACCTAGGCTTTATTGCTATGGCTGAGACTGGGTCTAAGAGATTTGGATTCTCTTGCTGTGGGGACAGAGGTGCTCACCTAGGTGTGCTGTAGTTCATCTCCTCATTCTTCACATTCAAGGGCTGATTCTTCACATATAGTACGTCCTTGGCTTCAAATATAGTGTGTGGGACAGGCGGAGGACCTTAGCCTCTTAAATTTAAAAGAAATTTGAATTCCTTTAAAATTTGCCCTTATGCCTAAAAATCCTTCACCTGTCATCAAACTGTCTTCGGCTACATGGATTTTCTGTTTGAAAAAAAATCATAATGGTATTCATGATTAATTTTCTATATTAGCATAACTTAGTTAACAACTTGTAACTTAAAGTAGATGTCGTACATGTTTTTTAATCAAAAACTTTAGAAAAAATTTTTTTTCTTGTGCCATTTTCTCCTCCAGTAATAGCATGCTAGTTTTTTTTTTTTTTTTGAGACGGAGTCTTGCTCTGTCGCCCAGGCTGGAGTGCAGTGGCCGTATCTCAGCTCACTGCAAGCTCCGCCTCCCGGGTTTATGCCATTCTCCTGGCTCAGCCTCCCGAGTAGCTGGGACTACAGGCGCCTGCCACCTCGCCCGGCTAGTTTTTTGTATTTTTTAGTAGAGACGGGGTTTCACCGTGTTAACCAGGATGGTCTCGATCTTCTGACCTTGTGATCCGCCCGTCTCGGCCTCCCAAAGTGCTGGGATTACAGGCTTGAGCCACCGCGCCCGGCCATAGCATGCTAGTTTATGTTGAGATACCCACCTCTGGTGATACAGTAACTCATGCTTTCTGAAATATTTTCTGGTTACTCTTGGCTGTGCCAGCAAACACTAGTAATACACAGATCTGCTGATTCTCATGTGAGATACGTTTATTCTTTATCAAATAAATTATACTCACAAATTTTTATTAAGTAAAATACTTTATGTGTAAATCCCAATACATCCCAAATGAGGGAGGAGAGATTTTGTTTGACCATGCTGGTTTTATCACTTCTGAGTGTTTCTTTGGAGATAGCTTTTGCAATCTTCCTTCAGAGATCACAGTCCCTACTCTTTAGGTTCGGAACAGGTTTTATACCTGCAGGCCTATTTTGTTACTATCTATGTAATTCTCTGCAGGGAAAATTTTTAGAATCTGGGACAGCATTTTCATGGTACCTGTTTATCCTGAAGAGGAAGTGGAGCCAAAAGTCAGAACTTTCTCTAACTTTCTGACTTACTTTAGGAGAGTATATTCTTGGAAGTTAGATGTTTAGTAGCTAGAAGAGAAAGTTACAGAATTTGTAATCCTGTGCTCAAAACAGGAAGTGTGGTCGGATTACATGATCATTGATGTTACAAGAATTAAGGCAAATCAGTTTTATTCAAAACAAACCTAGTAACTAAGAAAGAGGTCCATTTTTTGTTTTGTTGTGGTTGGTGACTAATATTGAATACACTTCGCCAGATTTTTTTCTGGTTGTATTATACTTTACATTTATTTCAAAGATACTTCTTTTATCTTTTGTTTGTGTATATCCCAGCCAAGCCACCATTTAGCAATAAACCTGTTGAGTGACTTTTTCTTGTATACCATAATGTTGCTAACTGGCAAGTCCTATGACTGAAGGCTGTATTTTCTAGCCTTGAAAAAATATGAATTTAGCTGTGCACAGCGGCTCACGCCTGTAATTCCGGCAGTTTGGGAGGCTGAGGTGGGCAGACCACTTGAGCCCAGGTGCTCTAGACCAGCCTGAGCAGCATAGTAAGACCTCATTTCTACAAAAACACAAAAATTAGCCAGGCATGGTGGCATGCGCCTGTAGTCCCAACTGTTCGGGAGGCTGAGGCAAAAGGGTTGCTTGAGCCCAGGAGGCGGAGGCTGCAGTAAGCCAAGACCACACCTGGGTAACAGAGTGAGACCCTGTCTCAAAAAGAAATAAAAATGTGAATTTAGCTTCTGTTAGATAAATATTGTGCAAGACCTACATTTACAAGTTGCTGACAGTTTTCATTTTATTTAGAAACTTATCCCAGTATGTTTTTAGTACATTTATGAAAGTTGTTTCTTGGCAGAGTTACCACCTCATGTAGGCGGTCATTTACAAAACAGCCAAGTTTTATTCATTTTCATTAGAAAATATAGTGATTTTTACCAGGATTTCCGAAGTAACCACGCCTGCTTTCTTCAGTGGTAGATAGTGGCTTTGCAGTAAAAATTGGTGGTCAGATTTTTGAATAGGTATTTTTGGAAATACTGAAGGATTTTAACCTCTAATAATTTGCTTTTTGGAGCATTGGTAATGCTCCAGCAGATTATTTTTTCCTTTTCAGTTTTACTTACAACATTTCCTCAAATAGCCATGTTCATAAAACTTGGGGGAAAAGGAAGAGAGGAAGCAATTACTGATTCATCCCTGTGATATTTGGCTATTTCCATGGAAGAAGGTTAAGGGTAGGGGAGTTTTTAAAATTTGACAACACATGTACAGATTGGAAAATGTTTGCTTTTTACTCTTTAGGTTCACCATAAGCCAGAATGCCTACAGATACGTTAATCCAAGTTTGAGGAAATGGATTTTTTTTTTCCCCACTGAAACAATAGCAATAAGGTTTAACATAATCTGTAGACAATTGCATTTGTATTACTGTTCCCATTGATCGGTGTTCACATAGGCAAAAAAGAATAATTTATTACATGTGAAAAATAAAGCTCACTATTAATAATGTCCTTTGGACAGAAATGTAAAGTAACTGCACTGTTGGGTGATATTTGCCTTGATAGCGTCATACATCTTACTGTGCATTTAATTCTAATGTTGAACTTTTTATGTACCTGGCACTGTTCTGAGTGCTTTACAAATATTCATTCAACTTTAATTCATTTAATGGCTAATTACTCTAATTCAGTTAGAGCTTTTGGAAGAAAGTAATTGAGTGTATTGTGTATCCCCCCCACCCACCCCATTTGTTTTGTTTGCATGGACCCTGACCTCACTGGAGGACTTTAGTCTCAGGGCTCGCAATGAATCCTTGTCTTGTGGTAGTTCTGCTTCAATGTTTGTAACATGTGAAAGAGTCTGTCTTGAGATGGTGAGAGGCTTGCACTTAACTGGTTTCTGTGTTATAATTATATAATTATAATTGTATTCGTACATTGTAATTGTGTAATTGTAAAACTACATTTTTTGGAAATTACAGCCTTTAATAAATAAAACGTATACATGTCCTCTCTCTCTTTTGTTTAATTAGGCATATTTTCTATTTACATGCTAGAAAAGTTGTTAGAAGTCATTTCACATTCATTCTTCTCTGTGTCCCTGCCCTTTCCAGCATGCTCGAAGACGACCTTCAGCTCAGTGACAGTGAGGACAGTGACGGTGAACAAGTAAGTGTTGCACAGCCTGTAATACCAGGAGTCCGTTTAAATCCATCTAACAGATCTGAGCTGCTTGTTCTAACCTGTTTTTTGTTCTTTTCCTGTTCCTTCTTCCCCTTATTGTGAATGCCTAGACCCCAGAGAAGCCTCCCTCCTCATCTGCACCTCCAAGGTACTGTGTGGGTTTCTCCCCATCTGTACAGAATGTTTGCAATTTTTTACCAAATGGGAAAAATAAAGCCTTATTTAGTACTTCCACAGTTTTTTCATGGGAAGAAGCTGAAGGATCACAGTAAGAGGAAAGTACCTGTTTAATATTTTAGAAGCTTAAATCAGCCATAAGGAGGTTGTTAACCCTATAGAAGCGAGAGCCCCACACTGATCTACATCATCAGTATAGATGTTAAAGATTTTTAAGAGTTTACAGGTTGGGCATGCTAGCTCACGCCTGTAATCCCAGCACTTTGGGAGGCCGAGGTGGGCAGATCACTTGAGGTCAGGAGTTCGAGACCAGCCTGGACAACATGGTGAAACCCTGTCTCTACTAAAAATACAAAAATTAGCCAGGCATGGTGGCGTGTACCTGTAGTCCCAGCTACTCAGGAGGTTGAGGCAGGAGAATCGCTTGAACCCAAGAGATGGAGGTTGCAGTGAGCTGAAGTCGCGCCACTGCACTCCAGCCTGGGTGACAGAGCGAGACTCTGTCTCAAAAAAAGGAGTTTACAAACAAGCTTAAAATACAGTTTATCGTCAGTGTTAGGTAATCAATATTTGAAAAGTTAAACTGACAAGCCCAGTGTTTTAATGGAGGTAACAGATTTGCTGTTTTCAATAAAGCTCAATTATTTCCAGAACTTCTTTTCCATTATGGTTGTTTTCTTAGTTACATGAATTTTCATACTGTTTCAGCTGCTTTTCAAAATGACCAGCAGTACATTTCAGTGTGATGGGAAATGGAACAAGCCAACCATACTTTAGGAAATGTGATGATTTAATTTTTGAAAATATGAACTATTTGAACTACTTTTATAATATTTTCCTCTGATATGCCAGATACCTGTCTTTTATGGACAAAGTTTACTCCCTTGAGATGTGCTCATCCACTCAGAGACGAGATTAGTGATAAAATCTTGTCCATTATGCAGGGGATGTTACAGTTAATGTGGAGGAAGCCCATGTAATTATGTGCACTCTTACAGATTCATAAGGTTTGCTTGATTATGTCTTATTTTGTTCAGTAATTTCTGGTGGGTTATGATGACTCATAAAACATGACAAGGTAGCCTAACTTCTAAAAGTGAAGGAAAAGGAAAAAGAAGAGACCAAGCAGGGGTACAGATTTGAGGCAGGAGTAACACTGAGAGTGTAGCCCCTTTTGCTCATCACTGGCTCATGCTCTTCAGCTGCCAGTGGAGATAGGGCCACAGACTGGGTACAGCATTTCTGTGAGGAAATTATATAGTGGTATCGTGTGTGCCTTAAAATTACTTCAACTAGTGATTTTGTTATTGTTTAATACTTTTTATTCTAGTATGTTATTTACGAATCTATTTTGAAAACGTTTTAGGTGGATTTGGAATCTGTCCAGATTTTAGTTAATGACTTATTGCTTTAATTAATACCATCTAGGGTGAAGCTTTAAGATTATATATGCTTTGAAATTCTATGTGTGTCTAGCATTGTGATCAATGTGTTTTCTCACTAACTTAGATTTATTGCCCCATTCTTAAAATTTGGAGTAGATAATCTCTCCTTTGGCTGATATTTGGGGATGATCCCTAAATCACTTTTGTAGTTCTGCCAGGAAGTGTGAATGGTTGTTTACTTTTGAGTTCATCTTGCAAAGGAACACCATTTATATTTAGAGGTCTTTGGCTACCACCCAGTTCTTGTATAGAGAATATAGGGAGATTTTAACGTACTGGCTTTTCTTATAGAAATTAATTGGATTTGGTTATGTGTAGCAGAGACCAGCAAACTTAAAGGATCAGATAGTAAATATTTTAGGCTTTGTGGGCCGTATATGTCTCTGTTGCAACTGTTCAAATCTGCCATTGCAGCGTAAAAGCAGACATAGTACATTAAAGAAATGGGTATGGGTGTCTTCCAATAAGACTTTATTTAGAAAAGCAGGCAGCCAGCCTAGGCTATGGTTTACCAACCCTTCATATGAAGCACCCGGCATCTAACTTAAATTTTGGATCGCTTGAAATATTCTTCAGGAGTAAAATTTCACAGGCTTGTCTTTTATGCATTTATCTGGTGAACAGTTTTCAGAGGTTTTTGCTTTTCTATTAAACTACTTTGGGCCTCTCTCAGTTGGATGATGTGATAGTTTAGCAGTGTATCTAATACCAAGACCCTTCCTTTTGAGTAGCAGAAAAATGGGCAAGGGAGAAGGAAGAAATCCACCTTGCATCGTGCCTTCTAATTTTATCTTTTGGTTGCTTTGCAGTGCTCCACAGTCCCTTCCAGAACCGGTGGCATCAGCACATTCCAGCAGTGCAGAGTCAGAAAGCACCAGTGACTCAGACAGTTCCTCAGACTCGGAGAGCGAGAGCAGTTCAAGTGACAGCGAAGAAAATGAGCCCCTAGAAACCCCGGCTCCGGAGGTACCGTGTCCCCCCTCGAGATGGCCACCTTAAATGGCAGCATTCTGCCCTTTGAAGCTAGAGTCTGTGCTGTGGGCCAGGACTGACCATGAGACTGAGTCGTTCTGTGCCATGGGGCAGTGCTTTCCTGCTCCTGCGCTGTCTAGAGCCATCTGTTTCTATTTATTTGCTTCTTACCAAATATTTAGTAAAGGAGAGTTGGGAGAGAGGTCTTCTCCCCCCTGTTGAAAATGATAGGCCTTCTCTGTCGTTGCTAGTGGTGTTTTGAAGATCAACTCATTAAGACTGTTTGCACACCATTTTCTTTTCCCTTCTTTTAAAAAGAAAACTTGGTTTCAGTAGGCTGCTATTTTAATATTAATGAGAATTCTTTTTGAAATTTTAGAAATGCATGAATTAAGGAAAGCAAAAGGAGACCGCCTGATTTAGCAAAGGGCAGGAATGTGAACTAGAAATAAGTCATCAGGAGTTCTATTTTCGAATCACTAAAAGCCATGCGTTAAATTGATGGCAAAGTGATTTTGTCAGGGTTCTGTTTCTTGCTCCCTTCTGCCCCATGTAAAACAGGGATGATGGTGTTTGCTTGTTACCCACCCTCAGGAGAATATTGTAAAGATAAACTGATAAGACTGAAAATCTTAAGCACTAAATAAATATAGAGGGTTTATGCTATTTACTGGATTGTGGAGCCCAAGAAATTGTTAGTAACATCTAACAGGGTTGCCAGATAACCTCAAAATTTGGGTAGCATTGTAAAAATTATGGTGGGGAAAGAAATTAATGAAAAGGGAAGGCATTCTTTTCTTTTTGGTGAATGAGACCAGCCCACATCGAGAAAATTATTCCAGATATTTAATATGGAAATGCCAGGAAATGAAGCTTTCTAATTAGGAAAGCATTAAAAAGCCTTCTGTATTTGTCTCTGTTTAGAAAGCAAAGCAGTTCCAGTGGGGCATTAACTGAATACATCTGGAGCTGATGTAGGGAGATTTAAGGGTCTTGTCTGAGGGTGAGGGAGGCTGAGAAAATAACTGGCTGTCATTTTCTGTTAGATGCGAATCTATGTCAGGCGCAGAAAATAAGAGTTTGATATGTTTTGGAGTGGACAGACATGCATCAGTATTAACTGCACTTGAAGTGCCTTTCAGATTTAGAAACTACACTGTGTGTTTCTGGGGCTCTTTGTTTCCTTATATGATACTAATTGCTATTGAAATAATTTTTCTTTGCCTCAGGGAAAAGGATACTGAATATGCTGTGCAGACAAATTGTGTGATGTTCACTCTTAACGTTTATAAGATCTTTGCTTTGTGTTTCACCTTATTCTTAAGAAAAATCTTCATACTAGTTAGATTACTGACATCGAAAAGATAATTAAATAACATTTAATTAAAATAAAATGGAAATGGTGCAGATTTGGCTGAATAATTGAAACTTGATAGAAAGTCTGGTATTTGTAGTAATGAGACATAGATATATTTTATTGCTTGAGAAGTTACTGGAATAGAGTGAAACCTCTTAGGTGTAAAATAAATGGTCCCCTCCTGCCTTATCTTTTAAAATCGCTTTACTAAAAAGGGCTAGTATTGGTATGTATTGCAGATGCGTGGACAGTACGTGTTATGTACTGAGGCTCATCCTCCTGGGAATATTTTATCTTTGTTTAGATTTTAAATTTTGAATTTTTCCTAAAGTATTTAACTACATGTCTTTCCTTTTACAGTAAATACCTGCATTATTATAAATCTCTGGTGTTATTTGGGAGTAACACAAATTCCATAATAGGCTGTACATACAGATATTAATGAGAATTCTTTTTCATTAATATTCCATAATCAGTACTGTACATTATGCAGTTTTCAGTTTCTCACTCTTTTATGTCTTTTAATTTTTTGGGTATGTAGTAGGTGTATATATGGGTACGTGAGATATTTTGATACAGCCATATAATACATAATAATCACATCAGAGTAAGTGGGGTACCCATCACCTCAAGCATTTAAAAAACATTTTGCACTCATATTCCCCGTAGCTGTGTAGTGTTACTAAAAGAATAAATCTATATTGTGCATAGCTCAGAACTTCTTAATTCAAAATCATAATTCATTCTAAAATATACTAACTTTTGCCAATTTATTAAAACACCTAATAAAAAATAATTACATCCTTTTTTTCCTACTTCCAATTTACAGTATTTGGGTTGCACCGGCACTGGGAGAGCAGATTGGGGGTGGGGTGAGGAGAGGCAGAGAAAGAAATGAAAGTCCAGACCTTGATCCTCCAAACAAAGACAAAATGTTCCCAGGATATTTGAAAGTCTAAAACCTTGGCACTTTTATCTACTTAAACTTTATTTTTAAAAATGTTTTATTTTCATTTTTATTTATTTATTTTTATCGAGACAGAGTCTCACTCTGTCGCCCAGGCTGGAGTGCAGTGGTGTGATCTTGGCTCACTGCAAGCTCCGCCTCCTGGGTTCAAGTAATTCTCCTGCCTCAGGCTCCTGAGTAGCTGGGACTACAGGTACGTGCCACCACGTCTGGCTAATTTTTGTATTTTTAGTAGAGATGGGGTCTCACCATGTTGGCCAGGCTGGTCTCGAACTCCTGACCTCAAGTGATCCACCCACCTCAGCCTCCCAAAGTGCTGGGATTGCAGGCGTGAGCCACAGCGCCCAGCCTAAAAAATATTTTAAGTCAATCCCTTATGAAAACATTTTTTCCATCTCAATACCCAAATAATATATCAAAGAAATTGTATCCATTTCACAACTTAATATTGGGTATACAGGATTGCCCCTACCTCTTCCCCTTGTCTGGCACAACTACTCAATTTTACCCTCAAATTGGGACATAGGCCTTCCTTCAGAACGTTTTAGAACTGTAGTGGAAGAATATATTTTATTTCTGTAACCAGGACATTCTTAGGGACTACTAAATGTATCTCAGTACTATACTGTTCTGAGGGTTGGGGGGAAACCAGATGTTATTTAGACCAGGAATGACTTCCCTTTTGGGTTCACACTTAAATCGTCTTCTAAAGAGCATGCCAGGGATTGGGGTGCAGTTGTAAGTATAGTCAGCGGGTGAGGTATGTCCATATCTTTCCTGAGGAAGGGTGTGAAGGCTTCGTGCCTGTTGTGATTGGCAAGTGATGTCTCTCACTACCTTGTCCCATCAGTTAACCATTTATGTAACCACACCCTGAAGTCTCTGCAGGAAATCATGTTTGACAAGTGGGCATTGTGTGCTAATCTTTTCTCTACTCTTAACCATTCTGCCTTCTTAGAATGTTGAATACAGATTTAGATGTGACAAAATGCTTGCCACTTAGTAGTAGTTTCCTTCTTCCCTCCCTCTCTGCCCTTAAATTCAGATGACAGCATGGGTATACAGTTAACATAAGCGAAGGAAGCCATAAGGAAGATAATGTTATCATAAGCAGCAGTATGAGGTAAACAGAAAGAAAAAAGGAATTATGCAGTCATCTTACTGTCCAAAGAGTGTTCTTGCCTGGTTTTTTAAGTTTCTTAGTTCTGTTGCATTAGTCACACTAAACCTGAACTGTCTACCTGATCATTTTATTACCTAACCTTTTCCTGGCCAAAAAGCCTTTATGTCATAGCCACATATTTTGCATCATTAGATTTCCATGTTTTATGAAGTAGAATTATTTGGGATGTTACACTCGGAAAAATTGTCAGCAGTCTTTTTTCCCCTTAAAACTTTTCCACCTACTGGAGTGTTCTCCTTATCTATAATCTAAGCAAATAAGTCTGAAGTGGGATGTCTTTCAGCTAATTTTCTGATGCATTATGTATATGACTTACTTCTACAAACCACCTCCCAGAGTGGATCTTTAAAGAAATTAGTATTTTTCTTAAGATAAGGACGTAAGGACAGCGATGTGTTCTCTTTAAAATAAATGTAACTATCACTCACTCTGTTAGACACTAATGTTTTTCTATATGATATGAAATTCATGGGTATAGTAATCCACCTAGCGGAATACGCATATATCTCATGCACCCACTATGTGCAAGATAGAGTAGTGGAACTTGGAGACACAAGAGTCTCTGTCATTCTTTTAATAAGGTGTAATAGCCGAGCTGGAGAGACGTGGTGGGATGCAACAGCAGTTAATTTGAACTAACAGTTAAGATAACAAGCCAGGAACCTCTGTTTTTATGCCATGCAATTGTACATTCTCATTGCCCCTGACTGTATGCCTCCCTTTGTATCTTAGAAACATGGGTGCTATTTCAGACCAGGTTGCTTGTAATGAGAGATTTGATGTATGACTTTTTTTTTTGGTTTTTTTTCTGGGACCGAGGTGTCACTCTATTACCCAAGTTGGAGTGCACATGGCTCACTGCGGTCTCAAACTCCTGGGCTCGAGCAATCCCCACCTTAGCCTTCTGAGTAGCTGGGACCACAGGCATGTGCCACCTCTCCTGGCTAATTTTTTACTTTTTTGTATCAATGAGGTATTGCTCTGTTGCCCAGGCTGGACTTGAACTCCTGGGCTTGAAGAATTGTCCTGTGTTGGCCTTCCAAAGCTGAGATTATAGGCGTGAACCACCGTGTTGGTCCAATGTTTGACTTTTCAAGAGTTCACATGGGATTAAATGCTTGGCTAATGTGACCCAGCTGACTTGCTTATCAAGGTGTAAAAATTGCAAATCAGTATATACTATATGTGATGTGATAACTTTGTCACATATAAATGTTTACTACATAATGTTTTTAAGTAAAAGAGAGAAATGGGCCTGTTACTCTAGTGCTTTGGAAGACTGAGGCAGGAAGATCACTGGTGGCCAGAAGTTTGAGGCTGCAGTGAGCTATTATCATGCTGCTGTACTCCAGCCTGGGCAGCAGAGTGAGACCCTATCACACACAAAAAAGAGAAATCTCTTCTTGAATAGAAGTCATCTTTAGTTGAAAAATATGTCAAAACAAGGATAAAATGTGAGCCCACTAAAACTTAGTTTATTCATTAGCTGCCTTCTGCAGATACTTGATGAAATGATTTTTTACTCATTTCCTCCTGTTATTCCTTAATAGAGTAGTTCACATACCAAAATGTGTCAATTCTGTTTAAATTATACTGTAATTACCATTAGATATATTATAAAGATTTCTCAGCAGTTGGCAGTTGCCTGTTGGTTAATACTTGCTATTACCAAATTTCTAAATCCCACAAAAAAGTGAAGGTTGCTTTAAGAGTTAATTGTTATAGATCTTATAACTTGAGGAGGATGACCGGAACCTAAATTCTGGGTTTGGAGGGATTCGCTCCTCTGCAGGACAGTATTGTATAAGTGGGTGACTAACACAAAAGAATGATTTGTCATCATCAGTCAGTTAACACTTTTCTTTCTTTCCTTATTTTTAGCCTGAGCCTCCAACAACAAACAAATGGCAGCTGGACAACTGGCTGACCAAAGTCAGCCAGCCCGCTGCACCACCAGAGGGTCCCGGCAGCACAGAGCCCCCACGGCGGCGCCCAGAGAGTAAGGGCAGCAGCGACGGTGCCACGAGTCAGGAGCGTTCTGAATCCAAAGATCCTCCCCCGAAAAGCTCCAGCAAAGCCCCCCGGGCCCCACCCGAAGCCCCCCACCCCGGAAAGAGGAGCTGTCAGAAGTCCCCGGCACAGCAGGAACCCCCACAGAGGCAAACTGTTGGAACCAAACAACCCAAAAAACCTGTCAAGGCCTCTGCCCGGGCGGATTCACGGGCCAGCCTGCAGGTGGAAAGGGAGGCGGGACTTCTTCCCTACGGCTCCAGAGACCAGACTTCCAAAGACAAGCCCAAGGTGAAAACGAAAGGACGGCCCCGGGCCGCAGCAAGCAAAGAGCCCAAGCCAGCAGTGCCCCCCTCCAGTGAGAAGAAGAAGCACAAGAGCTCCCTCCCTGCCCCCTCTAAGGCTCCCTCAGGCCCAGAACCCACGAAGGACAATGTGGGGGACAGGAGCCCTGAGCACTTTGCTCTTGTTCCCCTGACTCAGAGCCAGGGCCCGCTCCACAGTGGCGGCGGCAGCAGGACTAGTGGCTGCCGCCAAGCCGTGGTGGTCCAGGAGGACAGCCGCAAAGACAGACTCCCATTGCCTTTGAGAGACACCAAGCTGCTCTCACCGCTCAGGGACACTCCTCCCCCACAAAGCTTGATGGTGAAGATCACCCTAGACCTGCTCTCTCGGATACCCCAGCCTCCTGGAAAGGGGAGCCGCCAGAGGAAAGCAGAAGATAAACAGCCACCTGCAGGGAAGAAGCACAGTTCTGAGAAGAGGAGCTCAGACAGCTCAAGCAAGTTGGCCAAAAAGAGAAAGGTGAGTTCTGGGGAGACTGCCTTGACTCCAGTGTGGACCATCCTTGCTGTTGGCCTGATGGTATCTTTGATCGACCTTTGATTTAGGCCCAGTTGAGTTGTCTCACAAGTCTTTGCTTTGATTCGCTGTAGCCTTTGCGCCTTCTACCAGCGTTAGCTGTCTGGACTTTGCTTCTCATTCTGCATATGGGCATTAACACGTGTTGTGTCCCTCCATCGGTCTTGCTAGTTTAAAAAAGGTGAGGCAGTCATTAAAAACGATAGCTTCTTTTAGGATAATGTAGCATCTAGGGCTGCCCCCACACCCCCTCTTTTTTTTTTTTTTTTTTTTTTTTTTAGGTCTTGCTCTGTCACCCAGGCTGGAGTGCAGTGGTGCAATCTTGGCTTACTGCAGCCTCCGCCTTCCAGGTGCAAGCAATTCTCCTGCTTCAGATGTAAATTCTGGTGCAAATCTTTGATTTATTCCTTGTCTTCTTCTCTTTTTCAAAAAATTTTACTTTTATTTTTTTTTTTTTAAGGCAAGGTCTTGCTCTGTCGCCCAGGCTGGAGTGGTGTGATCTTGGCTCACTTCAGCCTCTACCTCTGGGGTGGAATGATCCTCCTACCTAAGCCTCCTGAGTAGCTGGGACCACAGGTGTGTGCCACCATGCCTGGCTAATTTTTGTATTTTTTTGTAGAGGTGGGGTTTCACCATGTTGGCCAGGCTGCTCTTGAACTCCTGAGCTCAAGTTATCCACCTGCCTCTGCCCAAGTGATGGGACTACAGGTGCGAGACACGATGCCCAGCCTCATTTTCGTTTATTCTTATAACTGGCATTTACCACCTGGCCCATTAGGTTTTGCCCATTAGGTTAGAAATTGAGATATTATATTAATTGAAATGTTAATTCATATTCTGAATTATTAAAAGAACTGCTCTGTACAAATTTTACTCTCGTAGTAGGATCTTTTATACCAATATCACATCCATATTTTAACACATGACCATACAACACCTCATTACAGTTACTAACATATGGTTAGTGTCTGCTTGAGTAATATAGGCTGATAATGGCACATTGCAAAGTGTTGACCACATCATTTTATTTATTATAATTTTGGAAGATTCTTTTGGATACAGAATGGACAGAGTAAAAAAAAAAATTGCTGCATTATTTAACATTGTCTGTTACTTGAACATGCTGCTATTTTAGACAGTCTCCTTTTATTTTGAATCATTGAGCTCTTGTTCTATTTGTTGCTTTTTCATGATGATGAAAGATTAGTGAGCTTTTCTCCAGTAGCATTCCCAAGCCAACTTGCCCAAGAATCAGAGACAAAGACACAAGAAGGGCCAACTCTCTCCTGCTGAGAAGGAAATAAAATTTTTAACACTCTTGTAAGTACATGAAAAACTTCTTACTCAGCTGTGGAAGTTGAGCTAAGAATAACAAAGGGAAAAAAGATTGTGAAGCCTGCTGTCATGTCTGAGATTTGACTGATTAATCCACTGGGTTAAAAATATAACCCGACTTTACCAAATAGTAAAGGGCGACTGCTTTCTTCAGAACCTCCTCGCAGCAGACTAGAGGATGTGTATTGCCACCACGTTTGCAGCAGGCAAGTTGAGTGGGATGGTATCCTTGCTAATGAGTGCTCTGTCTCAGCTAGAAGAGGGCATATTTTCATGCCAGAAACTTCTTTAAACTTTTTATATGGGATGGATTGAGGGGGGGTGGGTGTGTGTGAGAGAGTGAGTGAAAGGTACAAAACTTTATGGAGAAAATTGTGATGGACCTGGTTAGGAAAAAGATACCTGCATCTGATAACACCTGAGAAAACTTCAGGAACACACTCATGTAGCTCCCTGTCCTGGTAAATCTCTCACCTGTCTCCCAGCTGCTGTGGTCTTGTGTGGTCTCCAGTGCTGGCCGTCTGCATTAGCTGGGGTGGGGACAGGTATTCACTTCTGAAAGGATTACTTACCAGGTGGAAATGTTAGAACCTGGAGGATCCCCCAGAGAGCTCAGTCTAGTTCATACCCCAGTGCAAATCTAGAAGTGTTGCTTGAGGCCCTAGAAAGGGAAACTTCCAGCTCTCACTGTTGACTGTGGGAACTGTGCCCTCTAAAAGCCGTTCCCAGGTTTTGGCTGAGCACCTCTTGGGCAGCTCATTTATCTTTCTGTTTAGAGCATGAAGAAATAGTGATCCCTTCATCTTAATCGAGTGCATGATTTCTTCAAAAGGCTGTCGAGCTGCTGAGAGATCTGACCTGGGAAACAGTCGGCCTCTTTGGTACTGTCAGGATTGATGTCTGACCCACTGGTTCCAAACTCCGGCTACACATTACAGTCACCTGGGAGCTTTTAGCACTGATGACGGGAATCCCCAACCCCCACTGGTATTTAAAAAAATTCCTCTGGTAATCCTAGTGCCTATCAGGGCTGGGAACCACTGAAGCAGAGCCGTACTACAGGGCCCAAGAGCATACAAAGCTAGTTATTTGGATCCAAAATTGGTCAAGTGTGCAGTATTTAGACATCATGATCTAGGCAAACAGAATTCCTGGCCTGAAATATGTCACTAGTTACAAACATTAGAAGCTTTCAGGTAAATAAATATAAAGAAACAGTCAACTGTATTCTTTCTTCTTCATCAGAGAATCGTGTGTCGTTTGGTTTAACTTCCTGCTGGATTCCAGGTGGGAGATGAGCATACTAATCTCATTATTTATTGTAGAGGACAGGTTGTCCCCCCTTCCTCATTAGTGCCCTGACTGCTTGTTCGGGGTTCTCTGCCCCTGGCCCTCTGACTGGCACGGTTGCTCCAGCAGGCACCAGTGTGTGGGCCTGCTCTCCATGGGAGAGACAGGGCTGTCAAGTTTGGGTACTGCTAACATTTGGATAATGAGGATATTTTTCATTTTCTTCATTTTAAATGTGAACATTAGAAAAAGCTCTGTGAGCATATAGTCAGAGCAATAGAAGAACATGCTTGATCCCTCACATTAGTGGAATTTAGTGTTTTTATTTAAAGGCCTGTTAGAGTCTGTCCCTCTCTTGGCACAAAGTTTAGCAAACATTTTCTTTCAGAATATTTACAGATCCTTGAATCCACTTCAGACTTAAAAGTGTATGAAGATAATCATAAAGAGTTAATGGTGGCTAACATCTGTGATGAAGTCATTAGACGTGGCACCTATAGAAATGCGCACACATTTTTTTTTACTACCCTACAGCCGTGGGTAAGGAACAATGCATGAGGAAAAGTAGAGAAAACTGTGAGGGTAAATATGCATGACCTCATGTTTTGTTCTTTACATAAACTACTGAATTTCATCAGTCTGACTGCAGTTTAGATTTTCTAATACCAACTTATGTTTTTTTTAAAAAATTTTTATTTTTAGCTTAGAGACTATTCTGTTAATTCGTCTACTTATTTTTTAGAGACAGGGTCTTGCTCTGTTGCCCAGGATGGAATACAGTGGCATAGCTCACCAACCTCAAACTCCTGGGCTCAGGTGACCCTCCTGCCTCAGCCTCCTTAGTAGCTTGGACTACAGGCACATGCCACTGTACCCAGCTAATTTCCTTTTATTTTTTGTAGAGATGGGGTTTCACTTTGTTGCCCAGGCTGGTCTTGAACTCGGGACCTCCAGCAACCCTACCTCTGCCTCCCAAAGCAGTGGAGGTACTGGTTGAGGGCAGTTGTCTGGCTCATTGGTGTTTTGAACAAAGAATTGGACAAAATGCACACAAAACCAAGGCAGTGAAAACAGAGATTTATTTTAAATGAAAGTATGCTCCGCAGGGTGGGAGCTGGCTGGAGCAAGAGGCTCGGGAACACTGGTTCTTCTGGGGTTTGTATGCCCTCTAGAGGTTTCCCATTGGTTCACTGTAGTGGCCCATGACTGGTCTGATTGATTGTAGGGGGGACCAATCAGAGTTACTTTCATTTTCCAGCTACCACACAGAAAAAGGAGGGGTTGAAAAGGGAGTAGCCTCTGATATCCAGTCAGTGTAGGTGGGCCTAAGGTTCCCTGCCTTCAGACCCTGTTCTCCTGCCTCACTGGGGTTACAGGCATGAGCCACCATGCCTGGCCTATATTTTCTTCTTTAGAATTCTTAAACCAAGCTTAATTTTTTCCAGATTTGGAAGAAAAGTTGAACTCAAGAACTACAATATATATATACAGTAATATGCAACCAGGCCAGTGCAATTGGGAGCCTTCTAAAAATGTACCTAGCTGGGCACAGTGGCTCACATTTGTAATCCCAGCCCTTTGAGAGGCTGAGGCGGGTGGATTGCTTGAGCCCAGGAGTTCAAGACCAGCCTGGGCAACTCTGTGAGACCCCGTCTCTGGGGGAATTTTTTTTTTTTTTTTTTATTAGCCAGGCGCAATGGTGCGTGCCTGAGGTCCCAGCTACTCGGGAAGCTGTGGTGGGAGGATCACTTGAGTCCAGGAGTTAAAGGTTGCAGTGAGCTGTAATTGAGTCACTGCACTCCAGTATGGGCAACAGAGTAAGACCCTGTCTCTAAAAAAAGTAAAATAAACACCTAACGTGCATAGAGCTACATGTGTGAGCCTTGCATTGTTCTAGGAGCTCATGGAGATAATTCCTCACTTTATTCAGTCATCTTATAGATTCCTTTCAAATGAAGGATAGTCTGTCTTAATTATCATTTAGATGAATAACTGAATAAGGAGGTGCATTCATTCAAGTCTTTCTTTTCCTTTTTCTAAATAATTGCTTTAACTTTTTTGGGAGACATTCCAGTGCTATCGTGTATGTGTTTTGAGGAGTGAGGAAGGGAAGTTATGATGTGTAAGAGGAAAATGCAGCTTTATTGCAGGGAATGGTTGGTTCAGTCCTTCCCTTGCATCCAAGATCCGACTGTCTGTTCTTGGTTTATTGCTCCAGATCAGCACCCCTGGTTATCTTTCAAAATGAAAGCGCATCCCTTCTGCTTGACTAAGGCCACTTACATCTAAATTTCTCCATGCCTGTTAGTTACTCTGAGGAGAGCACCACAGCCATATGCATGTGATAGCTTAGGCTGTTCTGAATCAACCTTTCCCTCACCAAAGAGAAAAGTGGATGAATTTCCCTTTTCTGTAGTACTCATCCCAGTGAACACAACCTGTTTGCACAGCAAGTCCCTGGGCCTGATCTTGGTGCAAACTTAAATTGATGTCCGTTGTGTCTTTTTCGTATTGAATCTCCTTCCGAGGCGAATCACAGGAAAGTCCCTGAATTTCCCCAAAGACTGCTTCTCCAGTTTTCTGTGTTCCATGTGCTACCAAGCTCATTTGCTTCCCTTTGGAAGAAGATAATAGAGCCTTAGAATTTAAGTGTGGAAAGAACCTTAGTGGTCCCTTGATCAGCTGCCACCTTTTATAGATGAGATCCAAAAAGGCACTAACATGGCTTGGCTGCTGAGTAAAAATAGATCTGCAGCTCAGGCATGCTGTCTCCTCCCAGTGCGGTGATCTTTCCTCTTTTTCACACGTGTTTCTGCGTACAAGTGTCTGTCGGGAGGATTCTCAAGAGGCGCACAAGGTCGGCGTACTGGCTCGGACGCCGGTGAATAAGGCGGCTACCACGTCAGCCCTGGCTTGGTTCCTCCACGGCCCCCACCGTTGCCACTCAGTACCACACACATTCCTACTCCACTTTAGCTCCTCCTGCAGATGCCCCCATCTTCTCTGCAGCCAAGCTCCTGGTTAACTACATCTTTCCATCTGCTGGAATCTCTGTGGCCCCAAGTAAGTGTCAGTTCTGGAAAAAGCCACCTTTTCCCTGCTTCCTCCAAGTGTCTGCTGGGTGAGCCAGCTGCAGGGCAGCGCAGCCCGCCGAGAGGCTTTCCCTGACGGAAACTGACTCGGCCCCTTGCAAGCCCATGTCTTCCTTTTATGGCCTTCACTCTTGCCCTGTGCTCCACTGTGGGTGGAGCAGCATCTGGCAGATGATCAGGGCTGCCTGACCCAACAGGTTAAGAAAAGCAAACAAGTCTGTGAGGACCAATTTGTCAGCCGGCAGCCTCCCTTTGTGGAAGGTGAGGCACCGTCCTTGAGACACTTAACCTAGTAGAAAAAGAATTTCTGAAACCCATACCTTAAGCCAGATTCCCTGAAGTGGGGGTGACCTGGGGGATAAACCACAGGGCAAAGGGACTTCTTTTTCCTCCTGAAGAGAGAGTATCACTCTCATCTGAATGGCTTCTTGACCCAGAAAAATCTAAAGAACACTGTGCCTCCTGTTTTTTGGCAGGTCTTGTTCTTGGAATTTTGGTCTGCATTTCCGCTCACCCAGTATTGCATGGCTCCCAGGTTAATGACCCTTTCCTACATCCATCCACTTAAAGTTGTAGTGCAGTCCTGCATCCAGTGACCTCAGCTGTGTCCCTGAGCTATTAAGCTGAATTTCTGTGCCACTGACAAATACCGAGTGCCTACTCTGGGGAAGCCTCTGTGACTGTTCCAGAGAGAAGATGACAAAGTTCCAAGTGCATAGTGTACAAAAAAATACTAACCTCATGCCCGCTGGCTTGATTTCAACAGTTAAGCAAAATCAACAGAAGGGGATTTTTGCTTTAAAGTTTGATGGCTTGCTTTCTACCAGCTTATAGAATAGTATCTGCTTCTAGGTTGCTAAATATCAATATAAAGCATATTATTCCAGTAAGTGCCAATGCAGTTGTTAGATGCTGGCGCTGAAGTTAGTGCTCGCTGGTTTCTCTCTTGTTGGCTGTCTACTTGAGTCACCGATTGGCACAGCCAGAGCTATAACCAGTCTGTGAGGATTGATTTGCCCTGACTTGTATCTTCATATGTGGTTTATAAGGTCTGCCAGATTGGCTTATAGTTACAACCAGCATGTCCTAAGCAAAATGAAACTATACGAACAAAAATCAGCTCTCATTCCACTGCTAGACTTTGGTGTTTTCTTTAAGAAGTAGCCTTGTTAATGCTTAGTTTTGCCTTGGGGGCCTTAATGTGTCATTAACTGCCTGGAAATACCTTTCATTGAAGACAGTATATTTTACTGCCTCATGTTCAATTTAGTATCCATCTGTATATTTTAGCAAATTTTGACTTTTCAAAGACAAAGTTTCCGTCTTGTAATGTTTCTTGGGCCGGCTATACTTCCTTTCATCTAAAACTCACTACAGTTCACTGGGCCGTTTGGTAACAGGGTAACCTGGGCATAATTAAGTGCTTGATTGACAGAGGAGTTACCAGTACCAGAAGTCAGGTTCTATTTTAACCCCATCATTTCCAATTGGTTCTTTTTCTCTCCACCATTATTCACTGTCTCTCAAGCGTTGCCACTGTGAGTTGTTGAACGGAGGTTTGTATGCTGCGCAGAGCCCTGTCGCAGTGCCCCAGCAAGCATCTTGTGGCGTGTGGCAGCACCTTTAACCTCTAAATTGTGCTCCAGGATCTGCTATAAGTCCATGCTTGCAGGAGAAACAGCTGTGTAGAGTTTCCTATTGCATTTCATTTGTGGGTTTAGAACTTGGTTGCTCATTTCATGTATTATCTCCTTTTTCAGTCCTTCAAGGTACATTTTTCCAACTTCTCTAATGAATGATTACATTTCTGAGTAGCTGATCTGTTTTTATCTTATCTAAGCAGTATATTTATAATTCCTTCTTTGCATTGGCTAATCTGATTAGTAGTTCAGAATTAGTAGTTCAGAACCCAATTTGCAGATTATCTATAGCAAACTCTGAAGAACTGTGCTGTCAAGTAGACATACAGTATAAGCCACATATGTAATTTAAACTTTTCTAATACCACATTAAAAACTGTAAAAAGGGGAGGAAATGGAAAATTAGTAAAAAAAAAAAAATTTCTTTTTGAGACAGCGTCTCATTCTGATGCCCAGGCTGGAGTGTAGTGGCGCAATCTCAGCTCACTGCAACCTCCACCTCCTGGGTTCTAGTGATTCTTGTGCCTCAGCTTCCTGAGTACCTGGAACTACAGGCGCCCACCACCACACTCAGCTAATTTTTGTATTTTTAGTAGAGATGGAGTTTCACCATGTTGGCCTGACTGGTCTTGAACTCCTGAGCTCAAGTCATCCATCCACCTTGGCCTCCCAAAGTGCTGGGATTACAGGCATGAGCCACCACGCCCAACCTAACATTTTAATAATTATATCTAATCCAGTATACCTAAAAGATTATTCAACTCCCAAAATATGTATGTCTGTTATATATCAATAAAAAAATCACTTAACATAAAAATATTACATTCCCCTTTTTGTACTAGGTCTTTATTTCAGATTAACACCATTCAAGTTCAGGTGCTCCCTAGATCTAGCTGTGGCTGCCAGATGGTAGCGTGCAGGACAGTGAGAACTGATAGCCTTCCGAGGATACAAGCCTTCACTTGGCCTTAATTTCTCTCTTCCTCCTGTATTTTCCCTTCTTAACGTTTTTACTTGTGCACATACTGCAAGATTAAAAACAGGTATCTTTGTAAGCTACTCTCAAGCCGTTTTGAAACAAGGCACTGCATAAATGAATAAAAGTGTTTTTTCCAGAGGAGTCTCTGAAGGGCTGGATGGATGTGCAAATGCAGGCACACTGATTTGTAGGATGCCAGGAGAAGGGAATTTTTTTTTTTTCTGTGTTCTATTATTTTGTATGGAGCCAGACTGCTTATTGGTGTCTGGGCAGATTTTGAGCCTACACATCTTAAATTATTCATTTTTCTTAAACTCAGGAGGAGAGGAAGACACAGTGGTGAAAATTGGGGCCTCCCGCAGTTAATTTGAAGATTTTTTTTTTTTAAGAGAGGATTTCAGGTTTGTTAGGGATTGTCCTAAATTGACTGGCGTCCCAGATTTCTAACTTGGTGACCTGACACTTGGGAGGTTTGGTTCTAAATGCACGTGAGAATTAACTGAAGGGCCTCACCCGTCACTTACCTGCCACCTGCTAGACAGTGTGTAGGCTTCCTCCTGAACCCAGAGCCGTGGGAAGGAGGCTGGCAGGAAGTCTGCACATCAGACTCCTTAGATAGCTGGTGTATGTGCTAACAAGTGAGGCACGAGAATACCACAGAGACTTTCGTCATGAAGAATTCTGTGTTGTTTTAATGATTAAATGTATTTAACGCTTTAGTTGGTATAAATGGATGCTTTGGAGGTACTTAAATTCTTTTTTCTTTTTTTTTTTAAACCCTACTTTCAAGGTAACAAGTTAGAGATACTTAAATTCAGTAGTGACAGATTCCCTTTTCCTTACTTCCACTAAAATATTTACAGTCTTTTCACGTTTTTTTTTTGGAAAATAGAAACATGTTTCTATATATGGAGAGATAAAAAGTATTAAAAAAATTGTATCAGTGGAGGGGGAAAAAATGTTAGCTAGAATCCCAGAGCAACTATTTCTATTGTTGTTGTGTATCTTTGTGGTCCTTTCTATAAAATACACAGGGGATTTTGTAGACGGTTTCCTTTCAACATTATACTTATTTTTCAGTAGAAAATAAAGTAAGCTTTAAGTAGTCCATTTTGAATTTTATACAAACAATAAACTAGTGGATGTAAGTGGATGGTTCTTTTGAAAGAAGTTGGAGGAAACCTCATAAAAAATCATCTCTGTATTATTTGATGTAAATATGCATGTTTCATGGATTCTTTTCTATTTAGAAAAACATCAGTGGTCTATTGAAGTCTACTTGCCTGGATTGTCTGTTACTGTAGACATCTTCCTTTTCCTGCATGGGAGGAATGGTTTTTCTTTATGCAAAAAAATCTGTCTCAATAGAAATCATGTCAAATCTACATTGTCCCCTGCCCACTCCCCATCACACTCACACACACGCAGACACACATGGTAAGTACTAATAGGGTTGCTGTGCGTACAGAAATGTCTCCAAAGGTTAATTTACCCTCTTTGCCTTTTCTATCTTTTCTTTCTGTTTTGTCTGTACTATTATGTTCGCAATAATTTACTTTGCTGATTATACTGTAATAACAGGGTGAAGCAGAAAGAGACTGTGATAACAAGAAAATCAGACTGGAGAAGGAAATCAAATCACAGTCGTCTTCATCTTCATCTTCATCCTCCCACAAAGAATCTTCTAAAGCCAAGTGAGTATAGAGATTAGCAGCCACCTCATCTCTACGGGGATCAACACTTCTTGGGTCTTGACAGAGAAAAGACATTTTTCTTCTGCAGTAGAATCAGTGGATTAATAAAGTCAAGCTCATTTGGACAATGTATTAAGTTTGTTTTTGTTTCTTGCATCCTTGAGGACCTTACAGGAATTAACAATTCATGTGGCAGCAAATTTGGATTTATCAGAAACATTTTCAGTATGGATAATTTCTTTAGACATCTGGATTTTTTTTTCCCTAAGGGAAAGTAAGAAAGGTACCATTATTTCTACTTTGCAGAATTGGAAACAAAGACACAGAGAAAACGATTTGTCCAAAGTCAAATAATTCTTAGTGTTGGAGCCAGCATTTGGACTCTGGGAGCCTGTGTTCAGTGCTGCTTTTTGTAGAGATGACTAAGAATCTGTCGGGCAACTCAGTGTCTGTTGTCGGGAAAAGGGGTGGCAGGTGAGAGGTGGGAGTGCCAGGAAGACGTAAATATAACAAGCAACTATTATTTACTCTGATTTACTCAAGAAATTGCTTCAAAAAATGTCCTGGCACAAACAAGTGCATAATGTCACCGTGTGGGAACCGACAGAGATGGGGAAGGCTCAGATGTGGAGGGTGCGGCTCCACTCGCCTTCTCGTCAGGGAAAGGCCTGGGTTGGGAAGCAGCTGAAGCAAGCGTTCGGAATGATTGGGGACAGTCAGGACCATTGACAGACTCTGCAAGCTTAGAAATTATACAGCTTCCTTTATCACTAATGGGTAGGGCTAGATTTTTGAAAGGCCTCAAAAAGTCCCTGAAGTTTGGCCTGTTTACAACACAGATTCATGCTTTGTGATACCCTAATCTTTTGTGCCAGCAGCCAGTTTGTAACTAAACAACGAAGCCAAGTGATGTGTGCTTTGCCTCCCCTTAGTTTTACATGATGTTTCACTCCAGGCCCTGCAGGCCCTCCTCAGAGTCCTCAAAGAAGGAAATGCTCCCCCCGCCACCTGTGTCCTCGTCCTCCCAGAAGCCAGCCAAGCCTGCACATAAGAGGTCAAAGCGGGAAGCAGACACCTGTGGCCAGGACCCTCCCAAAAGTGCCAGCAGTACCAAGAGCAACCACAAAGACTCTTCCACTCCCAAGCACAGAAGAGTAGAGGGGAAGGGCTCCAGAAGCTCCTCGGAGCACAAGGTGAGCGGCGGCGGCGGCCATTGTGTAAGGTGGGATGCATTGCTGTACCTTTACGTTCCCAAAGAAGACGAATTCCTAATGATGGCACTTCACAACTGTCCATTGCTTTTAATAAGGCAATTGTTTGTGTTTAAAATGCTAGTTTTTGGAGGGAGAGTAAAAGGTAGTTAATAATACACAAAGATTTAGGTGTCAGTTTATTATTCTTACAGTGATTTCAGAGGTGAAAAATCAAAATAGATTTTTGTGCTAGTTTTTGATTGGGTGTTTTACAGTAAGAAATTGTTCCCCTGTGTAGTTGTGCTTTGAATATTTGATCTCAGATACTTTCATTCTAGGTTATAATGGGGGAAAATGATCCACTTTCTCAAATAAAAGTTCCTCTCTTCCTGTTAATCTGGGTGGAGTGGGGTGGTGTGTTTGGATTGACTAAGAGAAAATGTTATGTGTGGCTTTGTGAGTTCTCTGATCTCTTGGACATTCTTGCCTTTTTGAGTCCCCAGTTCAGTCAGAACCACCGCTTCAGTTGAATCTGTAGCTTAGAAAGTGTTTAACCAGGGTCGATTGTGCATTGTTTGATTTACTCTTTTTTGAAACTACTCTTTTGAGCTATTTAAGAGAGATGGTACTTTTAGGACAGTGGTCTTCAATGTTAAGAGTGTAATCTATATACTGATTTTATTTTTTTAAAGGGTTCTTCCGGAGATACTGCAAATCCTTTTCCAGTGCCTTCTTTGCCAAATGGTAACTCTAAACCAGGGAAGCCTCAAGTGAAGTTTGACAAGTAAGACTTCAGATGCTTGCTTCTTGCTCTTTTTTGTTTGTTTTCGATTTTTTCCCCCCCCAAAGATGGAGTCTCACTCTGTCACTCAGGCTGGAGTGTAGTGGCACGATCTCGGCTCACTGCAACCTCCACCTCCCGGGTTCAAGTGATTCTCCTGCTTCAGTCTCCCAAGTAGTTGGGACTACAGGCATGAGCCATCATGCCTGGCTAACTTTTTTTGTATTTTTAGTAGAGACAGGTTTCACCGTGTTGGTCAGGCTGGTCTCGAACTCCTGACCTCAAATGATCCGCCTGCCTCGGCCTCCCAAAGTGCCGGGATTACAGGCATGAGCCACCACACTCAGCCACTTTTTGCTCTTTCTTCCTCCATTTTCTCCTCTCCTCCTTATTTCCACTTCTCCTTCTTTGTTTACCCTCTGCCCTCCCCTTGCTGTCCTCCCATCCTTTTTCACTCTTGGTCTTAAGTTATCTTGCCCTAGTCTAGTAATCTTTGGCTCATATAACCTGTCCCTGGTTTTTCTTCTTCTTTTTCGCTCATATAACCTGTCCCTGGTTTTTCTTCTTCTTTTTCAGACAACAAGCAGACCTTCACATGAGGGAGGCAAAAAAGTTGAAGCAGAAAGCAGAGTTAATGGTTAGTATTGGCTCTTTATCTCTTTGGTAGAATGTATTCTCATAGTAAAAAGGATTTTTTGGTAGTCTCCATTCTACTGTATTCCCTATCACTCAGCGTATGTGTGGTAGAAAGAAGGGGGTGCAACAGGCACAGGAGAAAGGAGTGTGTGGGCCCTACTGTTGGCCACAACATACGCACGCAGCAAAATCAGGACCTTAATGATTAAGCGGTAGGTGGTTCTTGGTGGTATTATTTTCTTTGGCTCCACTGATTCAGTCTGATCATGGGCAGATATATAGAGGACCTAGTCACACGTTTTATATCTAAGTCAGTGAAAGATAATCTACCTGCTGGTGATTTAATGCATACGTGCCTTTTTATTCCACTGCATCAATTCCTTGGATGTGAAAAATGAGTCCTGCTGTTGAAACTCAGTCAACGTGTGTTCACTCTAAGACATTTCACAAGGCAGGGAAGCCTGTTTACATTCCAAAATTATCTTACAGCCTTGAGAGGCTGACCCAAAGGAAGAGTTGAGCTAGGCTATTAGATGAGATTTTAAGATGAAGGTAATAATTATACTGTTGGTAAACATGCTTTAAAGCCATGAATTCTCTTTACCTATTGGCTTTTGGACTTTCTGAAAGATGGTGGTTTTGTAGTTCATTGTGTACATAATTATGCTTTTACATCACTACTGCAATAAATATAATGAGATAATGTTTGCCCTTTGTCATGTGTAGATATCCAAGACTCTGGGGCTTTTGCTTATGTAGTGAGTCCCTAAACCTAAATCCCCACAAATGCAAAAATGCAAACACCTCCCTGGAAAGCCATATATTGAACTTTGTTACACAGAGGAAGGGCATGAGTTGACTTTTTTGGTCCACATGTAAACCTAATCACACATTTCAGACACCCACAGGGGTCTGAATCAGATTGATTCACCAACAAGATCCTGGCCTGGCGCTGTTCATCCCTCATCTGCAGACCTGTATCTCTTCTGAGACTCTTTCATCAGATACCCTTGCATTAGGCAAAATGTTGATTCTTTACCATGCTGAATTCTGTAAGATAGTCAAATACAGGCCTCTCTAGCCCTGTCCCTAAAACTACCCTGTACCAGGGTGACCTAAGTCAGATTAAGCATCTGAGATTGGCCAGGCATGGTGGCTCATGCCTATTATCCCAGCACTTTGGGAAGCCGAGGTGGGTGGATCACGAGGTCAGGAGATCGAGACCATCCTGGCTAACATGGTGAAACCCCGTCTACGAGGTCAGGAGATCGAGACCATCCTGGCTAACATGGTGAAACCCCGTCTCTACTAAAAAATGCAAAAAATTAGCTGGGCCCGGTGGTAGGCGCCTATAGTCCCAGCTGCTAGGGAGGCTGAGGCAGGAGAATTGCTTGAACCTGGGAAGCAGAGTTTGCAGTGAGCCGAGATAGCGCCACTGCACTCCAGCCTGGGTGACAGAGCAAAAAAAAAAAGAATCTGAGATTGTGCCAAGCAGTGGTTTCAGCAGCTTCCAGTTTACCAAGCTTGTTACTGGAACTGTATGAATCTTTGGAGTTTTGGAAAGAGTAAATATTTCGCACTGTCAGCCAGTTATCTAAAGCTTCCCTTGACATTGGACACTTTCCGTACTAGATTCCGCATTATTCAAAGGAGTAACAGTCATCCTCTGGGGAACTTTGTTTTTAATCTATTCATATACATACATTCTTTCTCCTTACCTAAGGTGACTGTACATCCCAGTGTGCCAGGACAGCCCTAGTTTGTGCCTGTTTCATCTCAGTTTGAGAAATAATTGTATCCTGTTTCACTCTTAAAATATACCAGTTTGGACAATAGGCCCCTGTGGCCACTCACTCCGTAACAATCTTCCTTAACTGCATACTGTTTTGAAGATATGCCTTTGGTGTTCCAAATAGTTACGTACCCAACTGAGTAGAAAGGGATGTATTTCTTCTCTACGTTGTCTTCAACTGATGCGTAGGGAAACTACTTTAACAGTGTTTCAGGAGATACATGGAATCACAGAAATATGGGCATTATTGGCCTTATGATATACTTATCTAAAGGAAGTGAATATTGACAAATTGCTATACAATATTGTAGTTTAGTTCATTTCTAGCCTAAAGCCAGTATTAACTTTGGAAATCCCATGAAAGAGATGATGTTGAATAAGCATATTTGGAGAATTAAGTTCCCATCAGTGAAGCAAACCAGTCATACCAAATACTGCTGATTAATTGGGGAATACTCATTTGATTTTTGTTCTGTTACTAATCTGACCCTTAGTTCTCCAGAAAAAGTATTTTTTGATTAAGTTACTTTTTAAAATAAAAAATTTTAGAATAATTGAATATTCTGAAATATACATGTATACATATGTACATATACATGTGTATGTGTATAGCAGCCTAGTTTGTTCTGGTACTGGTAAAACATGAGAACAGTATGCACTCAAATCATTCTGTTGTCAGCTCACTGAGAGAAGCGTTTCCACCCCGTGTAGAGTGCAGCAGCATCCCTAAGTAGCATGACAGCCCATACCCTCTCATTGCCGATGTGTCTCCAGCTCCTTAGATTCCACTTATGTCTTTACTCTTTTCCTTTCCTTTCCTTTTCCTTTTCCTTTCCTTTTCCTTTTCCTTTTCCTTTTCCTTTTCCTTTCCTTTCCTTTCCTTTCCTTTCCCTTTCTTTTCCCTTCCCTTTCTTTTCCTTTCCCTTTCTTTTCCTTTCCTTTCCCTTTCTTTTCTTTTCCTTCCCTTCTTTTCTTTTCCTTCCTTTCTTTTTTTTTTTTTTTTTTGCGATGGAGTCTCGCTCTGTCGCCCAGGCTGGAGTGCAGTGGCATGATCTCGGCTCACTGTAACCTCTGCCTCCCAGATTCAAGCAATTCTCCTGCCTCAGCCTCCCAAGTAGCTGGGATTACAGACCCGCCAACATGCCTGGCTAATTTTTATGTAGAGACAGCAGTTTCACCGTGTTGGCCAAACTGGTCTCAAACTCCTGACCTCAAGTGATCCACCTGCCTCGGCCTCCCAAAGTGCTGGGATTACAGGCGTGAGCCACCACGCCCGGCCCGTATTTTCATTCTTTCCTTTTGAACATAGCAAATACAAAGCAGAAATTACAAATGCTAATCAGTTGCTCTCGATGTGCGGTACATATGCCATATGTGGAGAGAAAGACACAGTTACATCACACTGTCATCAGCTGCACTCGCCGTATGCCACTTAGAAGGGTGCTACATGACAAGGTGTGTATTCAGGTGTAGGGTGACCACCAGTATCTGGTTTTGTTCATATTTCTACGTTCCCTTTAAGGGACTCTGAAATGTTACCCCTGTTGACCTGGGGGGATGGCTTTGTGCACTAAAGCAGACGTCAAAGGAGATTAATCTGTTGGGCTGTAAAATGCATAAAACAATTATTGTTAGCTATTATATCTAACATGCTCATAAACCAAGAGTGTTTTCTGCTTTTTAGTAAACTTCAGCACACACAAAGAAATATGTGTCTGCATTACTCTAGACATGTGGAATAATCTGTTTCTCAAGAAAGTTACAGAATGAGTAATTGCACACTGATAACAAGGAGACTATGTACTTACTGCCTTAGTTTGGATATGTGCTTTCATAAGGCTTTGAGAGCATGGTCTTAAAACAGGATCGTTTTCTTTTTCCTAATGAATTTCTGCTAAAAGAGTTTTCAGCAGGTCTTAGCTAACAGGCTTTGGTTATCCTTTTTAGTTCATTCATCCTCACACTTCTCCCTGGCCATAATTAAACTAAGACAGTGGAGGGAAGTCACACTAAAGAATGTAGGTGAGAAACTAAAGCAAGGTTTGTCTTCAGCCTAACAATCACCATGTTCTTCTCCCGCAGACGGACAAGGTTGGAAAGGCTTTTAAGTACCTGGAAGCCGTCTTGTCCTTGATTGAGTGTGGAATTGCCACAGAGTCTGAAAGCCCGGCATCCAAGTCAGCTTACTCTGTCTACTCTGAAACTGTAGATCTCATTAAGTAAGTGCCAAGTCATTGTGCTTTCCTTTTCTTTCCTCGCCTTTATTGTCTTAATCCATTTGAACCTTAGTGTGAAGATGGCTCAATAAAGGGGAGCCTTTAAAAAGTTATTGGTCCAAGAACTAGTTTTTGTCCTATACTAAAATTGCGTTCTAGATGAAGTGCTAGCACAGAGTAACTGGGTCCAACTACATCATTTTGCTAAGTGCACCAAGAAGTGCTAGAGCTTTCAGGGAGAGGTTGGTTTTTTCCAGTTTAACTTTCTTATCAGATGACCTCTCCTCTCAGTTTAAGCTTCTACTTTGTTTACTTACCTACATTTCAACAGGGGACTCAGTGAGGACACAACTTTACTTGGTTTCAAGAGGTAGACAAGCCACGCAAGAGGCATGTCCTCGCCTGGTTTTCTCAGTGGCCTGGATTGCTGCTCTAAAGCCTTGGGTTTTTCATTTTCTTCCTGTGATGCTCTCATCTGTTTAACATCTTCAGGAAAAGTCAATATAAAATGGAAACAAGCATAATAAGTTGTATTTGTGTCTGCCTTTGTTTAAAACCTGATGTACTTTTATGTTTTCCTGTAGATTCATAATGTCATTAAAATCCTTCTCAGATGCCACAGCGCCAACACAAGAGAAAATATTTGCTGTTTTATGGTGTGTATTTTTCTTTGTCTAAATAGTACTAAATTTGTTTTTGCATCTGTTGATGTTACAAAAAGATTTTGAAATTTGTTTTCTTAATGTGAAAATTATGAAAAGCAAGTCAGTACTTTGGTCAAAAGGTTAATCCCCCACTGATAGTTCTTACAAAATGGTATCTGCTGCCGTTTTTCTGATGGCTTGTTAAATGCTTTGGTCTTGTGATATAAATTATATCCTTGTGTTTTCCACCAGCATTTACTTTTAGGATAGTATGGACAGAGCAGTAAGATTCTTTACATACCAACTCACACAGGTGGGGAAAACGCAGTGTGTTCGTTAGGCTGTAGAAGGTGAGATGACTGCTTTTCTGTCGTCTGATAGTCACGTGCAGTTTCCCTTCTGTCTTTGTTCATAGCATGCGTTGCCAGTCCATTTTGAACATGGCGATGTTTCGTTGTAAAAAAGACATAGCAATAAAGTATTCTCGTACTCTTAATAAACACTTCGAGAGTTCTTCCAAAGTCGCCCAGGCACCTTCTCCATGCATTGCAAGGTAACTCTAATATAAATAATTTCCAAAATTGAGTCATTTCTTTCTTTACTTCTTGCTTTGTGACCATTTGTATGCTTACATATGTGAGTTTGTCTTTTCAAAAATTGTTGGCTTCAACTATGTGCTGATTGCTCCTAAATTTAAATTATTAGCATATTTCTACCTTTTTGAGAAATAGTTATAAATCAAGGTTTTTGCTGATTGGAAAACATAAAAAGGTAATTGCAAAGAATATAGAATTGAGATTTTTGAGCTTTGAGGGTTGGTTTGTTTTTTGAGACAGAGTCTTGCTGTGTTGCCCAGGCTGGAATGCAGTGCTGCAATCTTGGCTCACTGCAACCTCCACCTCCTGGGTTCAAGCGATTCTCCTGCCTCAGCCTCCCGAGTAGCTGGGATTACAGGTCTGTGCTGCCACCATGCCCAGCTAATTTTTGTATTTTTAGTAGAGATGGGGTTTTCACCACTTTGACCAGATTGGTCTTGAACTCCTCACGTCACATGATCTGCCTGCCTTGGGCTCCCAAAGTGCGGGGATGCCACAGGTGTGAGCCACTGCGTCCGGCCGAGCTTTGAGGAGCTTTAGATAAGCCGAAGAACACAAAACAAGAGGCAGAGCCATCAGAACCAGAGCCGGAGTCCTTTCTCTCTGTGTGTGTGTCACATAGCTTCTTGGCATTTCAGTAAACAAGACATTTCCAGAGCCATATGCCCTTCATCTTCTCCAGGATCCACACCAGTAATACTAAGAATGAAAATGATTAGCAAAATTATTTTCCCCACTTTGTGAACTAAAATTGTTTGTGTATGCTCTTAAGTTATTAGGAAAAAAAAAAAAAAAGAATCCTTGTACAAGTGTTTTTAAAATGAAGTTGGAATTTTCTTCCCTGTAGTCCTTGCCTAGTATTTTTTAATTTGGTCATACTCCTTGTGAAGTTCCTAGTTCTGATAAGTTTTGCTATTTTAAGAATATCACTTACACGACTGCCCTATTTCTAGCACAGTCAAAAGAAGAGACTCCCATATGGCCTCTCTTAAAAAAGAAAGTCCTGATTAAGAAGTAACTTCATATTACCTCTGAAGATTTTCGTGGCTGCTGCGTCTGAGATATTATTCTAAGCTAATAGATTGTCAGTCACATTATTTTAGATAACTCCTTCAATCGTTTGTCCATCCAGTATATACTGAGCACCTTCTTCATACCAAGCCTTGTTTTAGGTACTGGGGATACAGTGGACAAGAACCACTGCCCTCATGGAGCTTTCACTCTACTCTTTGCAAATGTACATTCTGCTAGGTCCGTGCAGCCCAAAGGGCAGGTGTAACATCATGAGGCTACTGCCGCTGAGCCATCTTTCCATTTTATATTCATTAACTCTTTTTTATTTAATCCACATTGAGTCACATGTTAACTTGCAGGTCCAGATATTCAGCCAAGAGTGGAGTAAAGAGGAGATTGAGTCTTCTGATGCATGATACTTATATTAGTTCATTCATTGACTCGGCAAGTATTTATCAGAAGCCTGCTTTTAGCACCCATTGTGCTAAGTACTACTAATGCAAAAATTAATAAGACATAATTTCTGCTGTGACCCAGGAAAAGGAATAAACAGTAGATAAATGCAAGAAAAGAGAGATGTTCAAGTGGTGGCAGAAAGGAAGCTGTGATGTATCCAGGGTATCCACAGTGTCTAAAAGAATGCATGGTACAGAGCAGGTGCTCGGTTAGTGTTTACTGAGTGGATGAAAGGATGAAATACAGGTGGGTGCACACACATATGCATACATTACATACATAGAGTATTGTCTTACTAGGAGATTCCAGGCAGAGGAAGTAGACTATGCGAATGGCATGGGAAAGCATATTTGGAATACAGATTAGCTCAGCATGGTGTCTCGTTTTCCCTGTAGGAGTGACTTTAGCAGTGGTTATCATTTCGGCAGGTGTGTAGTGAAACTTTGTGTCTTGGACTGTAGTCCCAGATACGTAAATCTGTGATCTGGGGGCTACTGGTGACTGACTGACCAGTTCTCTCTTCTCTTCCGCCTCCCAGAAGCACAGGCACACCATCCCCTCTTTCCCCAATGCCTTCTCCTGCCAGCTCCGTAGGGTCCCAGTCAAGTGCTGGCAGTGTGGGGAGCAGTGGGGTGGCTGCCACCATCAGCACCCCAGTCACTATCCAGAATATGACATCTTCCTATGTCACCATCACGTCCCATGTTCTTACCGCCTTTGACCTTTGGGAGCAGGCCGAGGCGCTCACAAGGAAGAATAAAGGTAAATAAATGGCTTTGTGGTGGTAATTACTGGGGTGTGTGGATTGGGAGGAAATAACATTGGTTTATATTTTAAGTTCAGTTTCTTGGAGAAAAGGAAATGTGTAGCTGTTTACTTTAATTATATTTTCTCCATTCAGCCTCAGAACCTAGTTGCAATTATTCCTTGAGCACTGTGGCGTGGAGCTGAATTTCTGTGGCTAGATCTTAGCAAAACCAAAATAGAAGTGGTTTTAGCGCCTTGCCCCTTCTGAAATTCTGTTGTCATTATTTCAGCCTGAGCTCAAATGCTAGCTGAAAGGCAAGGCAAATGAGGAAGAGGAGTCACTGGCTGTTCCTAGGCTCAGCACTTTGGAGATACAAAGTAGCATAACCCAAATACTGAGATTATTGTTTGTTTTTAGTATATGTTAAGAAAGATAGTAGCTATAGTACGAGAGATGCAGTGTAGTAAACATTATTGAGACTTGTTTAGGGAAGAAGACCCTTGGAGAAATGCAAGGTTTAGGAGAGTTGGAGCCAGCTGGCTGTAACCACTTACTTTCCACATAGCCTCTTAGGGCCTTATCCGTCTTATCAAACTGATAATACTTTTAACTTTTTTTTTCCCCCATTAATGCATCTTTTGAGGCAAAGGTATAAATTTAGTGTTTTCCAAGTGCCAGCCACTGTGCTAAGCATTATGGATTCCGCTCTAAAGCAAACCGGGTTTATAGTCTAGTGGAGAATTAGCAAGCAGTGACAGTAGATTGTGATCTTTTTTCTGTGATAAAGTGCAGAATATTGTGGGGACGTACCTTCTGGAAGCTTGAATTTTAATTTTTGCGTGTGCTTGTGTATTTACTTGTTTTTTTGTTTTGGTTTTGCAGAATTCTTTGCTCGGCTCAGCACAAATGTGTGCACCTTGGCCCTCAACAGCAGTTTGGTGGACCTGGTGCGCTACACACGACAGGGTTTTCAGCAGCTACTAGAATTAACCAAAACACCTTAATGGAGCCCCAGGTTGATTCAATGCCTTGGGAACTATTTTTGCACATTGGAAGCCTCAAAAACAGTCCAGACGTTTGTTTCATCAGGACACCAAACTCTAAAAAGAAGCACCACGAGATGGCCAGGACATTTGTCCACTTAAACTCTCCACAACGGTGTGATCATTGGTTGGACACTATGGTTATGCAGAAGCAGAGAGGAGGAGGCTGGCCCCAGAGATGATCTTGCCCTTCCTAACTAAAGGACAGAAGTGCAATGTAGCTTAAATGGGTGTATGAATGGTCTAGAAACATTTCTTTTTTTTTTTTTTTTAACCAGCAGAATACAAGTTGCAAATGAAATGAGGAGAAGCAGTTTCAACTCTGAAAGTGAATTTATATCATCTCGGTAGCCACACTAGTCCATTCCCAGAAGGAAATTTTTTTTTTAACAATGACTTTTGGTGAAGGGTTTTGTGGATGATTTTTTTTTTCTTTTGAGTTTTGGGAGAAATATTTAATAACTTCTAATGGCCATCTGTAAACCATAAGTAATGAAGGACTCCACTGTGCCCCACTTTCTGCCAATGAACAGTGGCTTGATAATACCAAGTATTGTTGTAATTTATAAAATTGAAGGCAACCCCTGCTCCTGCCGCCCCCCACCCCCCATTGCCTAGAGTGCTGCACATTCACCCCAGCTCTGACTTCTCTGTTTCTGTGCTGAAAGTCAGCCCACGTCGGAGCGGCGAGGAGGAGCCACAGCGCATGGGGTGCCGCCTCGAGGTCTGCACGGGAGGACTTGGCGCTGCCATTTCCCACCCCTGCTTCAGCAAAAGGGACTCTCCAACAGGGCAGTCACTGTTGACTCTATTCTGAATTTCCTACCTTGGGGAAGAAGGGAACCAACGTTTATACCTGACCAGATGGCTAAAGTGCTTTTAAAGTTTTGTTTGAGTAGAGCTGGAATTTGAGGTGCTGATCTGTGGTCTGCAGTTATGTGGTAACTCATGTTGTCCAACCAACTCAGAGTTTTGTCAGTGAACAAGAAAAATGAAATCTGCTTCTTAGAGAGGCTATATTTTTCTGCTACAAATTATTTTATATTTATAGCAAAACTAGACTTTCAGAGTCTTTGATTGTCTAGGGGAAGTTAACTCCCTGAGAGGATGTAGAGATTTGGGGTGTTTAATTAGACTTTTGAAAAACTCGTCACCACATGCCTTCACTCCAGAGTGTTCTCAGCTGGATTTGATTTGGTTGAGGAGGAACTGTGGCCCTCCGTAAGTTATTGCCATAGTGTATACATTAAACCAAGTCCATTTTGAATGACCTAAAATGAAATAACACAATCAGAAATCCCATGTGCCCATAAGCACAGCTTTTTCTTTTTCATTGAAACTTTAATGGTTATTGGAAACATTACTTTGAGTGCAGTGTTTTTAAAAGCCAATTCTTTTTTATCCCTTTTAGAAGTAGAATGTGCACACTTACTACAATTGAGGAGTGTCATCTCTATAACTAGTTTTCTCCACCTTTGCCCTATTCTGACCCGCTACGTGTTTCCTACCAAGCGTGTTTTACATTTTCCTGTTAGTGGAGGAGGGAGAAACATCTTTATTTGTAATGAAGACATCTAAGATCCCTTTGATGAATGCAGGAACTCTCTTGGTGGTTTGTAAATATACAAAGGGATATGGCGAGGGATGGGAGCGATGCTTGTCTCTCATAGTGTGAGTGGTCTGTGTGGGGCTGTTCCTTCAGTTTCTTCTCCAGACTGTTGTTTGGTTCTCACTAAGTCAGAGGTCTGGTCCCTCATGTGAAAGCCAGAGAATGACAGCTGTAGTCATATCTGAGCATAAGACCTTGATGTGTGATTCCTGATGACCGGTTCATTTATTCATGTTCTAATGCAAAGCCCCGGGTCCTTTCTAAACTACTAGTTTTAAAAACCTGTGTTAAATGAACAGTAATTGCCTGGTAGGTTTTGTGCGTTTGTAGCATTGTGTGTCCATCTCCTATATGTAAGGGACAAGGCACCAGAATCGGGCTTTATTTTGATATTGAAGATGTTATTTAACATCTTTCTTTTTTCCTTACTTACTCCCTTAGCCATCCCATCCCCTTTTGCCCCATCATTCCCTAGAACAAGCCACCTGTCAGTTGTGAAGGGTTGTGTTCTTTATGGCAGGTCCTGTCTATGCAGATGGTGCCAGAGCATGTGCGTGTTCTGTTGGCAAGCCACAGTGCTGCCTTGACTGAAGACATTTCCAAGTAGATTTCTCAGCCAGCTCTAAAACAGATTGCTTTTTCAGTGGCCTTACTCTGTGGGGTTTTTTTTTTTTTTTCCTTCTGAACTTGATATAAAGATTTTATTTGTCCCTTGAAAAAGTAACACATGTGCATAGATCAATTTGTACTACTTTGGTCATTGGATATTTCTGATCCTTATTGCATTGTACCTAAAAGAGAATAACTAATGGTAACCTTTTTAATAGAGTATGTGAAAGGCAGTGGCTGAGGAATCCTTAATGTTCATAGGGTGTTTTTGCTGTTACAGTTGTATATAGAAGTCTAAAGGATTTTTAAAATCATTTGCACTTTTTCACTGCATGCTTACAATTCCCAAAGGCAAAATCTGTACTGAGGTAGATCATTTTGAAAGGATTAGATTATAAAATTAAGCCTTTGAATATGCAAAGTTCTTATAACAGTAACAGTACACACTTCACAGTAAGACAAATGCAAAGCATCTTAAGGAGTGAAAATAGAGTGTAAATCTTGCCTTTGGCACTACAAGGGGTGTGTGTGTGTGTGTGTGTGTGTGTGTGTGTGTCTGTGTCTGTGTCTTTAGTAGGAGATGGAAGAACACTGTTTTATTTTTAAAAGTGTTGAATTACTGAATTTAAGATCCCTGCTAAATAATGAAAAAACACTTTACTAAAATTTATCAAATTATACTGGGTTCAGATTGTGAAAACATTGGCCACCTAGTAGCAGTGATGAGGAGTGGGAGGGCCCAGCAAGCATTTATCAGAAATAGAATCACAATGGGAGGAGAATTTGACTGTCTGATATTATGATTTGATCACAATACTGAATAGGAAAAGCATCTAATATTTTGTAACAAAAAGACCTTTATATTATAGATCTGTTTTGACCAAAACGTGTAGCTATTTCCCTTGGGCAAATTGGACCACACTTACCTCCCTTGTCCTGTATTCTTTAATTTCAGGTCTCGGGATGTTTAAAAAGCTAAAATCCCATACCCCTTTCTGGCTGAAAACTTGCCTTATTTGGTATCTTACACATTTATGTTACTAGCATCGGGAGCTTACTGATTTATTACGATTCATCTTCAGTAATTTTTAGAAGCAAAAAGAAAACCATTGTATCCTCCACAATTAACAAAACTGTTATCTCTGACATACAAAAGGATAGAAATACATAAACAGAGAATAAGAGGCTGATTGAATTGTGCCTTTGAACCTAGTTTTGAAATACTGCTGTGTTTGTTTTGCCATGGCTTCAGGGATGCTACATGACTCTTGCGCCTTTTACTCCTCTGCTTTATGAAGTTTGAGTTGTATTTATGCATCTTAAGGTATATTAAGGCTTGAGGCTGGGCTTTTTTTTTTTTAATTTTTTGTACTTAAACCTGCTTGCTTCCTACCACAGATTCTTTATTTTCCCAAACACTACAAAAAAACTTTTAAAACTTTGCCATTTCATCTATTACACTCTTTGCCACTGATTAGCAGTATTTAAATCTTGCAAGAATATTTTGTGCTTCCTTTAGAAACACAAGAGTATAGAGTTTTCTCCCTGGAAGGTGAGAGTTAGGCATTGTAGCCATGGAGGGTTGCGGGGATCGATTATGGCAGTACCTTTTTCCCTCCTGGTCTTGAGCCAGTTGCCTTTTGTTTTGGGTCCTACTTAGGATTAATGGATGTAAGATATTTTCCTGTGCCTTTATCTTGTGTCATTCTATTGGAAGGAGGTGTAATGGCAGAATAGCACAGTGTTGGGGGTTTTCCTTCAAACACTGCAAGTGATATTGCCACCATGTGAACCTCAAATATGCAATCCAGTTGTGTTGGTTTCTCGGTGACTTAGAGTGTTCATCTCTTCATGAATTGTGAGCACTGACCGTGTTCTTTAGTTCTTATTTATGGTGAGTTGACAAATACCAACTACTGCTTTTCTTTAGGTGGCTATAAATTTCTTATTGTCAGGGGGAAATGACACTATATTCTGTTCCACTGAGCATCAGAGCTCAGCAGGCAGTGTATTGGGTAGAGAAGTGCCTATACTTCTCTATCTAAGAGGGCAGGAGGGAAACCCTATAGCTCCTTGTGAGCCTATATTTTAGTATGTTGGCCTGGAGGGGACACGGGAATAAGACCACTCATAGTGAGGCTGGCCAAGCTGTGCTGGTTGGACCAGGCAGTGGCTGACCTAAGGAAGACAACTTGCTTTTCTTAAAAGTAGGTTTTTAAGCAATGCTTAACACAGGCAGTATTAACTTCACCTTTTGTTCAGGCCACCAACATGTATTGTTAAAATTACTGCACATCCCCCCTCAGATATCAAGTATACACTGTTCATGTTAGGGTGTGTGTGTGTATGTGTGTATGTATGTGTGTATGTACGCACGCATGTGTCCCAAATCTTGTTTTAATTTTTTTTTTCTGAATGTGATCGTGTTTTGGATAATACCTGAGCAGGGTTGCCTTTTTTTTATTTATTACCATTATATATTATATTATATTATATATTTTTTGCTTTCTTATAACTTTGGAGGAAATTTAAATCTTGGTATTATTAAAATTGTTTTAAAAAGGAGTAAATTTTCCAGTTGATAAATGAAAAATCACTGGTCTATCTTTAAAATAATGAGTTTTTCTTTAATTACTGTGGAATAATGTGCCAGCTCTCATCAACACAATGATTTTGTACATAGGGTAGGGAAGCAGTGATGCTCTCAATGGGAAGATGTGCAACACAAATTAAGGGGAACTCCATGTATTTTACCTACTTCAGCAATGGAACTGCAACTTGGGGCTTTGTGAATAAAATTTAGCTGCCTTGTATAGTCGTTTGAAAGAGAATATGTGATCTGTGAGATAATTAATAGTTTTTTTTTAGAAAAGTCTGCAAAAGATCTTCCCAAAGACAATGTGCCACAGATCTTTTGTTCTCTGTAATGAGGATTAATTGCTGTTTAAACAAAAACGTAATTGTTCATCTTTAAATTCTTTCCTTTTCATAAGAGGATCAAGCTGTAAAAAAACAAAAAAATTAATAAAAATTTCGAGAAATCATTGGGGTTGAATCCATGCTTTCCCTTTACCTGAATACAGTAATTCTTAATACCGTTATGTGAAATTGCCATCTATAGCCAAGGAGTTTCATGTGAACAATGTGCCCTTATTCACAATATTTATTGCTGGAATGGAGAAAGAACTGTGCTCAGAAGGCAGCTTATCCTTCTGTTCAGTTGTTCTAAGATCATAATCAGACACAAATTGGCCTAACATCACTAGTGTGGCTTCTTATCCTTAACATCAACTGGAGGGTGTAGCAGTGACCAAATTTGCCGTGTAGA